AAAATCGCACGCTACCGAAACTCACCCGCGGAGGGCCGCAGTGGATGGTCGTCCGCTGAGATCGGGGGCCGACGGGTCGCCAACAATTCCTCCGCACCCTGCTCCCCGGCTCCGCGGCGGAGCCGGAGCTCCGCGTGCGGCGCGGCCCACCCCCCTTTGGGTGTGAATTCCTAAACCCTAGCCTCCGTGAGAACAAAGACCGCATGATTCGCAAACAGCAGATCTCGCGGGTTGGGGCATGTTGTTGCTCGCGTCTCACGAGCAGCCGGAACGTTCGGGTTGGTGATATGAACATCGATGCGCCGGTCACTGATGCACGTCGCCTTGAGGTATAGTCGCCAATGGTTTGCCCAACTTGCGATCGACGCAACGATCATCAACTCGGTCACCCGAACCGGCTCCACGCGGCCTGGCGCCGCCCCACAGCCGCCGTGCAGGACGCAGCCAGACGCAAACGGCGCCAAACCTACCCCGCGCTCGAAGGCGCCGGATGTGCGCGGCTCTTTGTACTCGGGATCGAGGTTGGCGGGCGCTTCAGCACTGAAGCCGCCTGCTTCCTGCGCTTCCTGGCGCAACACCGTCCCGCCGGCTTCGCGGCACCGCTGCAAACTGCTGCGCGCAGGCTGGGTGCGGAGGTGGTCCGGGATGCTCGCTGTTGCTGCGATGCGAGCCTACGCGGCTTCCCTGCTTGAGCCCTCGCCTGCTGGTGAGGCCTGCGTCGGGTAAGGCGCCGGAATTGCACGAAATCCTTGCAGTGTGTGCGGGACAGCCTCCCACTGACGACCAGCCGTTTGCCGGCGCCAACCCCGAACGCTGCCTGAAGCTCGCCGTAGGCCGTAGCTCAGGTAGCATGGGGACCGAGTGGATGGTGTCATAAAGGTGCGTGACAATGAAACAAAATTTTGACTTCCGTAGTTCCCGCACCGGGACATGGGCGGAAAGCAACAATGGCACCAGTTTCACTCGGACCCAAGTAGCGCTTGCTGCTCCTGGTCGCCGAGCGGATCGACGCTTCTCGAACCGACAGGCTACCGCATCCAGCGGTATCCGGCGGTTGCACATATCATTCAAGAGTATGAACGACTCTTGGCATGAGGAACAGAAACGGCAAGGGCCAACATGATTGGCACAAGTTGTAAGGACGCGACTGACATTGTATGCGGCATCGATCATGTTGCTCATTGGCAATGGAAGAACCATGTTCTCGCAAGTTGTCAACACGTACTTCTTCAAAGTGTTGAAGAGCTCTCTCCGCGGATGTGCGGTGGCCATCCTACTTTCATGACGCCAACACTACTTGTGCACCGCTCACGCATGCTTACCCTGCAAGTGGACGTCAACTCGGTGACTACACGTGCAAATGCCGTGGCGCACGAAATGCAAACAAGGTGCCCGGCACGCTTGCTCGTGGCACGCGGCTGGATGCAATTCGCGTGTGTCCACTGTATAACACCCACCCCACACCTGGTTGGAACGCTCACATTTGTGCGTGCCTCACCTAGGTGATGTTGAGTTGATGCCGGGGATCTTCGATCCTCGTTTCGAGCGGCACTATTTCGCAGCCATTTGTCAAATCGCGAGATCCGTGTGAGAAAGTTGCTGGTGCGATACCCTTGAATCTCTGTATCTCCAGCTGCACTATTTCTCCTGCTCATAACGACGTGCCCTTCCGCCTATCATTGTAATCATTTGATATGCGCCCTAGCGCCGACGATTGCAGCATGGCGGAAGTGTTGCGCATACAATAGCTTGATTTTTTTTTTTCCCTCGGACCTTTTTCCGGCTGCCTAGGTTGACTCGACACATGCAACTAATTGCGAGGATTATTTTTTTTTCCCACTTTTCCCGTTTGCGCTTGCTCGTGGTGAGCGAAAGATGGCGGCATGCCTGTTTGGGACCAAGTCTGCAGACCTGCCACTCTCATTTGTGGAACGCATTTATCAGACATATCTGCATCCTTCTGTCTCCTTTGGACTAGCATTTGTTTCCGCAGGCCCACAGATTGCACGTTTTCAAACTCGCGTCCTTCAGGGGGGTCGGCGTCTTCTGTGCTGGCCGCGTGGTTCACCCAACCTCGCTGTTCAAGGCCAGCTTGGGTGGCATGATGCCGAAACGATGCGTCTCATTCAGGCAGCTGGTTTATGGGCCCGCCTTTTAAGATTACCACCAGGTAGCTTCGCAGGACAGCTCGCCGGTCTGTCGACCAGCACCCTTCATCTTGGGTTTCGTCCGTGTCACGTGATGTGACAAGCGCTGGTGTGCCGCATCCGGTTGAATGGGGTATCCACCCCGGTTGCGCGGGAGATGTTGTAAAGAAGTGGTTGCAACATGCCCGGCTGATTTTAGTCAACAGGTCCCACGCAAGGTATGCTTCAAATTTGGATCATGTTGACAGCTTGCGGCTGTACTCGCAGTGGCAGCCAGTGCCACGCTTACATCCCATTGCGTACGGTCGTAGCAGCCATGCCCATCATGTGCGATTCTGGGGTCTCGCCCGGTGTGGTCATCATGACTTTGCTGACGGGCGGGCTGCCCGACATCGTGGTTGTAACTCTGATGCGCCATGTCGCTTTTGCGCATCAGGGGCAGACACTCTCGCACATGCATTGTCAGAGTGCCCAGTGCATAATGTAGCTCGCAGGCGCTGGTGCCAACAAACTCGTGGACGAAACGAGATGTCATTGCACACGTTGTTTTGCACAGATCCAGCAGTGAACACAGCTGGAGACATTCGTTTGTTGGCGCTGTGTGTCAAGCAGCTGCCGCGTGTGAGATGTGATCTGAGCCGTAGCGCCGTAGTTGACAATCCTGTCAGTCATATGCATGTCCGCAATTTCATTTTCGTTGTTCCTTGCTTGGTTGTCGTCTGGTTGTCATTGTTGAACTGAGTGCTTGATGCATATGACGATATGATTACTATGTTTCACGTTCTGACCACAACAGATGGTCGTTCAAGGACAAGCCTCTCTCTTGTTGCAGGTGGTTCGCGAAACTGAGTTGCAGCTTACTCCACTGCAGCCTGCGGCGAGCCTCATGCAGCGCATGAGGTTGGCGCCGGCAAACGGCTGGTCGTCATGGGAGGCTGTCCCACACACACTGCAAGGATTTCGTGCAGTTCCGGCCCCTCACCCGTGATGCAAGCCTCACCAGCGGGCGGAAGCTCAAGCAGGGAAGCTGCGTAGGCAGAACATCGCATGTACTGCGAGCATTCCGGACCAGCTGTGCGCCCAACCCACGCTCGGTGCTGCGACGCCGGTGGCACGGGGCTTTGCAAAGGTGCAGGCAGGAGGCGGCTTTGGTGCTGCAGCGCCCACAGCTCGATCCCGATTGCGACGAGGCGCGCGAGCGCGCGCCGTTTGCGTGTGGCTGCGTGTTGCATGGCGGCTGCGGGGCGGGTGTCCGCGCCAGGCCGCTCAAAACCGATTCGCGAGACCGGGCTGACGGTCGTGGCGCCGATCGCGAACGGGGCACCGTGCCATATGGGCAACCATTGGCGACCACCTCAATGCGATGGGCATCATTGACAGGCACATCGATGTTCATGTCGGCTACCCGAACGTTGCACGTTAGTTTTGCCACGGCCTCGCAACAGACGCGAGCAACATCATGCTCCAGCCCAGGAGATCTGCTGTCTGCGAATCATGCGGGTGCGATTGTCTTCACGGAGGTTAGGGTTTCCAGCGCTGTTCAGTGCCGTCCGGAATACTCGGAATTCATATTCCCAACTTTGAAATCAAATTAACGAGGTACTACCATCGAGGCAGAGTACTGAGCACTCATCTGTAAATTCTATTTGCAGCGATGCCCACCATCCGAAAACCATCCAGATATCCGAGATTTGGTTGTGGGAACCAAGTTGCCGAGCACGGTAGGACACAAACCGGGTGTTTATGTTCAGCACGCAACCCGAGCGGTGATCGCGGATAGCGGCTTTGTGCCACCCCGGCAGCGCAACAGCCGCAATGTTTCATAATGCCGGAATAGCCGCCAACCTTGGCAGCGACAACTTCACTTCGTGTTCCCGGGCTCCGGCGGCTACTCCTTGCAAGTGACGCTGGATGCCGCCATTTGCCATGTCTCTGTTATTCCACACACCTTTTAACAGCACAACGAAATTTTATGTTTTTACAAACCTTTCTCTTGCCCACTTCGTGCCTGGTCGGTGGGTCCCACGTCTAGGCCTCGCCGCGTACACCTACTGCCGACCCCTGTGCTTTGCAGGGGCTGGGCCGCGGGCAAACAGGTGTGATGGGATGCACATCTTTGTGCGAGCACGCGACTTTCGTGCAGCCTGGCTGTCTAGCCGGTGTTCGGCGAGCACGTTGTTGAGGTCGGGGAACGGCCATGGACGTTGGCGGTGCCGTGCAATGGCAGCGACAATGCCGGCGTGGTGTGCTTCCGCATATGTGCACGGAGAAGCCGCAGCCACGGTTGCAGCAAACGCCCTGCCTTTCGCCCGCCTCTGAGCCCAACGCACGCCGCCGGCAGCAGGTTGGTCATGTCATTGGCGTTGTATCGTGTCCATAACAGGCAGGACCGACTGGAAGGCCCACCCAGCTTTGAAGAAGGGTGGGCCCGCACCCTCACACCCTGAGGGTGCCTCAGATTTGGTCCTTGTGTGTAGCATGTCTTCCCATTCCTCGAAGTTGGACAGGTTTCGGCCCTTTCGGCATCATTGAAATGATCGAACGCTGTTGTCTTTGTAAGGCATGCAATCGTGAGCATCGTGAGCACAACCAAATGCAGCATGCGTGACATCGACTGCAATGTAGCAGAGCATGCCTGCAACGTTCTACATGGTATCGGGTTGCAGGATGCAGATCATCAAAGGAGTATGATTTGTCGTTCGGGGCATTTAGGGGCGCATGAAGCGCATGTGCTCAGTATGCTTGGCTTCAATCATTTTTTCTTCATACCGGAGCTGACCAGAGCAGTGATGTTGAACACAGGGCAGAATGCCGACTCGTGTAAAACATATGTTCATGAAGCGCGTCCGTGCCATGGTTTCAGTTTCGCCATTGCAGTGTTTCCAAAACGCGTTTGGTGAGCCTGCAGTGAGAGGGCTGCGCGACGTGTTCAAACACAAAGCTTGCAGCCTCGCGGCGATTGGCTTGCATCATTGCGTGGTGTAGAAATCATGCTGGATTGTCGGAACGTTGTGAACCTGCCAGGTAGCACCGCATTCAATGCCAGCAAACTCCAGCATTTTTTGAGCTTGGGAGAGATGTCACCGCAAGTTGCACCGTGCAAGCCTCGGCCAGAAACCGAAAGAGATGTCGCAGCCTCAGTTGTGACAGCAGTGTCGAATCAAAGCAAACAGTGCAGCATGCAGGGCTCAATTTTGCAACCCAAGCTCTACTGTTTGGTTGAGGCAGTATGAACTTTGGCGCGGAAGCCCTGAGACAACCAAAACATGCAGAGCCAAAGCGTGCATCCCTGAACCCTAAACCCTTGCATCTATTGAGGATATCTTGGACTTTCTCGCCAAGATGGCATTGCATGCCCCAGAGGTTTGGTTCTCCGTTATTACAGGCTTGGAGTGTCCGCAAGATGCGAAGAACGATTGGGCCAACATTGGTGTTGCTTTTGATGCAAGTTCCCGGCTTCGGCGTGCCGGCATCGAGTATTACCATGCCCTTCTTGCAAACAATCGGCATGAGGGAGAAACTGGGGGGCTTCCACTCTGCTACTTCGACCGGCTGGCTGCTGATGCGCGAGTTGATTGTACCACCAAGCAGGTTCTTAGCCGTCCCAAGTCGTCCCATGTTCGTGTTGTGGCTGTCAGTGACACGCACCTCCTCCACGACAGCTTGGAGATTCCTGATGGTGATTTGCTGGTGCATGCTGGAGATCTTAGCTATGAAGAGTCGCGATCCAAAGATGCACGTGACGTGGATAATAAGTGGGATGAGTTTAACGGCGACTTTCGCAGATTTCTGGAGTGGTTCAAGTCATCTGAGTTGGATGCTGCACGCGCTTTGCGATGGCTTGGCACTGTATCAGAGTTCGAGCACAGAGTATTAGTTGGTGGAAATCACGATTATGTGCTTGAGCGGATCGGGAATGCCAATGCCATCGAGCTTTGTCAGAATTTCAACATTCATTACCTTTGCACCACGGCGGATCCGGAGGAGCTGAGGTTCCGAAATGGATCCAGCGTAGCAGTCTGGGGCTGCTTAGTTGTCAATGGGCCATTGCTTTGGCTACAACCAGAAGCCCTGCGTAACCCTACAAAACCCTAATCGCCAACGGCTCTAAACTAAACCTTAAAACCGTATAACTCTAAACCCTGAATCTTAAACCCTAAAGCCCGATAGCCCTAAACCTTGCAGTCCCTGGTCTCCGGGGACAAAGCGGTAGCCCGGGCCTATTCACAGATGTGTGGGTAGCGTAGTTGGAGGATCAGGGTTACGAGTAGAGTCAGTAGGGTTATACGAGTTGTAAAATTTTCTGGGTACTCAGAAGTTTTGTTTGCGATTTGCTTGCTTCATTTCTCTTGATCCTGCAAGTTGCGTTGATGTTGTCGAAGATGTTGTGGGACCGGTGGGTGAGGCAGGAAAGGCAGGAGGGAAGCCTGCGGTAAACACGTTTCAGGTTTGCAAAGGGCGAGTGCAACCACCTCGCTATTTCTTGGGCCTTCAGCTTTGCAGAGTAGAGAGCATCTGTGGTTTTGAAGCTGAGGTTCAGGGGTTTCAGCTGCGTCGAAGCTGGGTCAGGGCCGCGCAGTTCGTTCGGGAAACCTGGCATTTCAGCTGGAGGTGGACAGCGGTGAGGCAGAGTTTCGGGAGATGACCGCGAAGCTTCCGGCAGGGTCAGTCGATGTCATGATCACCCATGGGCCACCTTGCGGGGCTCTCTATGGAGCCTCCGGGAAGACCTTCCCCTCATGCATCAATGACCTGATTTCGAGACTGCGACCGAAACTTTTCATCTGCGGCCATGCCCATAATCCTGACAACATGAAAGCCGGCCAGAAAGCCGTCGACCTCGGCGAGGGAGTTTTGGGAATAAATGCTGCGTGCACAGGCACATGGAATCAGCTCTTGGGTATGCCATTTGTGGTGGATATTCCAACCGCATGTCGTGACAACGTGACGCAGTCGGCAGGCCGACCGCCATGGAGGGAAACGCTTTGCTCAGCTGATGGGTGCACAGTGTCGTAACATAGCTGCGAGGTGATGCATTACTGTGCAACATCCTTCAACATGCTGTAGGGTATACCGGTTCGCCCTCGAATCGGAGGGTTGTGTGTGCGTGTGTGCTGACCTGCGAAGCAGGGCCCGACACATGATGTTCTTGTGGTGCCACGTAATCAGGCCTGTTCCAACTTTTGCAGGCAGTAGGGCAGGTAGCTTCTGCACATCATGTCACATGAGTGGTTTCAGATGTATCATCATTATCGGTCTTGTGCTTATTCTTGTCTTGTGGTTCTCATTACTACTACCATTGTTCCTCTAAATCTTGTAGCCCGAAAGCTCTAACAAACTAGAGCAAGGTCGCAGAGAAGCTAGCGAGTGGCTACCCCCGGCGGCACCACCAGGCAAACAGAGCCGTACGCCGCATGAAGCAAAATGGGGGACGGCACTGCGGCACTACGCGGTTGTTTATGGTGTTGCGCTTTCACAGGCCCTAGGTAGTTTGGTATTCGCGACTTCCGCAGTGCAATTGCTTGCATCAAGCTGTACTCATCCGACGGTTTGCGCCGGAATGGACGCGAAGTCGTGGCTTGGGGTCTGGTACTGGGCCCACAATGGATGCAAGCCGAACGGCAGCATCACACTGAAAGTGGAGGAAGATGGACAACGAACTCTTCAAACAACTTTCAGCTCAGGTGTGGGCACATGGTGGCCGCATGACCAGCAAGCTTCGTCTATAGAATTGGAGTGGCAGTCAAAGGCTGGCAGCCTTGTCCGACACACTCTCAAGGCAAACCCCACTGAGATCGGCGGAATCGGTGCAGGCCATTCCTTTCGTGTCGTGGCATGTCACCGCCCAAGTTGCAGCACATCTGGAGTGATGGAGGCTGATGGCAAGGAGGGTCTCTCTTGGGTACCCGACTCGCGGACGATCCGGACATGCGGCTGGCGCAAGAGGCCTGGCACAAGTGCTACGGCTCTTCGTGTCAGCTCGGAGCTGACCTCGGCCAAGAAGTATCTCAGTCACGAGACTCCCCCGAACAGCGGATTCTTCGACTCTCTCTGCCCCAACTGCCGCCGGCCTTTGAACATCGCACTCGGCTGCGGGGAGCTGTTGACAGTAACCTCGCCGCTCACGGAGGCAAAAAGGTACGAGTGCAAGGAAGAGGCCGAAGGCTACTGCAGCCCTTGCCCCAGCTGCAGGAGGCCCATAAGCATCTCCAAGGTTTCTGCGCCTCTTCCTGGTCAGGTTCCCTTCTTCCATCGACCTTCTGTCGGCACTTGGCTGCAGCCGCGGCCTGGCAAGGCTTTGGCTTCCAAGCGCTCAAGGTGTGCCTATGCCACCCTGCTCTACGGCACTTCAGTGGAGTATGTTCGCGACGCCCGGGTCTTGGGCTTCTCGCTTCGGAAGTCCGGAACCCCTCACGACCTGGTACTTCTGCACACGAGTGATGTCCCGGAAAAGCATCTGGAGATTCTGGGGCGCCTCTGGACCTTGCGTCCTGTGGACAGGATCGATGCTGCAAGCACTCTCTTCACACCTCACAGCCGCTTCCGTGGGGTCTTCACAAAGCTGCATGCCTGGGGGCTCATCGAGTACGAGCGCGTCCTTCTCTTGGACTTGGACCTGCTTGTGCAAGAGAATGTTGACAGCCTCTTCGAGCTGCAACCGCCGGCAGCAATGTGGGCAGCGGGCGGACAAGTCCACGGACGACATATCGTCGCTCCTCCTCCCTTCAAGGGTTATCACAAGGTGGAGCCCTGGGGCAAAGCCGGCTGCGTGCAGTTCTCAGTCGTTCTGCTGTTTGCTTTGGAGGGCGGTCAGGTGGTTTCAGGTTCAGGCGAATGACAGCACCTAACTCATCCACTAATTCGCGTTCAAAGTGCTGGTGAGAGCATTTGTTGGTGCATTGAGCTTAGGTCAACGCTGGTGTGATTCTTTTGGAACCGAATCTCACGGATTTCGGGCATATGAGACAGGAAGTGGAATGCCGAGAGCATCCCGAGCACATCGTGACCACTTCACCCGAGCAGGACTACCTCACAAGGTTTTTCTGGCACACCCCCCACTGGACCCACATTGACGTGTCTTACAACTTCCAGCTGCACCACCTGGCCCTGCGGCTGCCTGACAGCCAGAAGGAGTGTGAGCGCCGCCTGCTCCGGTTCGAAGACATCCGCATCCTCCATTTCTCAGCCCACCCGAAACCCTCGCAGCGCGAGCCCGATGTCTCGGTCGAGGCCTTCGTGGAGCAGGCGATGGCTAACTACGAGGGTGTGCAAATCTACGTCCACCACGACCCCGAAGCCATCGAGAGGCGCAATGAGAACTGCCACTCTTTAATATATACAATAATGAAGATTGCAAGAAGACTTAACACACGAATTCTGATAGATTTGATTAGTGTGATCTTGATTATCGAGAGGCGCAACCGCAGCGGCAAGTTCCCGAAGCTGGAGTTGCGCACAATGGGCTCGGGCCCTGAGGCTGTCACGAAGCTCTTTGAGGAGTCCCGGGCTCTTGGCGAGGAGGGTGAGAGCACCGAGGGGGAGAAGCGGCTCTTCAAGGAAGCCACGGTGTCTCCCGCAGAGTTCCAGCGAGTCCGGGAGGTCTGCCTACGATCCTTTCAGGCGTGGAGTGAGGTGGAGAAGCAGTGCAAAGAGTGCTTCGGAGCCCCAAGCCTTCTGGAATCTTTCCCGGCGAAGCTGGGGAGCCAGCTGCAGGGAACTTGTGTGGAATGGGACCGTGGGAGAGGCTTAGGGTGGATCCGCCCGGATGATGGCAGCAAGCTCATCTTCGTGCACTTCAACGGCTTAGTAGACTGCAGGGGCATGGGGCGAACGGGGCGAGCGCAGCTGGAAGAGGGACAGCTAGTCTCCTTCTCCGTCGGTGAGGATGACAAGGGGCGGCGTACGGCGGTAGATGTCAGGGCGTCTGCTGCAGCGATTGACGCGAGGCCTCTGGCAGAAGAGGGTCGGGAAGAAAGGTCGCAGCCAGCCTTAGAGGAGAGAGTTCGTGGAAAATGCACAGCGTGGTATGTGCAGAAGAAGTATGGATTTGTGTCTTATGTTGATGGTTGCCAAGAGAAGAAGGTTTTCCTGCACCAGAGTCATTTGCTGGTGGATGCAAAAGACTCGAAAGGAGTGCCTGCATTGAAAGTTGGCCAACCGGTGCAGTTCACGCCTGCCAAGGAAGAAAAGGCTCCGGAGAAGTTGAGGGCGGTCTTCGCGACTTGCACAGAGGACGATAACGAGCTTGTGTGCGAGGTCCAAGCCTTCGCTGCATCGGATGCTCGCACCAAGAGCTTCCCTCCTGGAACGCCGTGGCAGCGGAGGTTGCTACATCAGGTGGCTCGTGACATGGGCTTCTTCACACGATCCGAAGGTGAGGAGCCACATCGTTCCGTTCGCATCTCGCGGACAGAGGAACTAAGCCCTTCCGACTCTGAGCAGAAGGTCTTGAGGCTCCAGGCTCGCATTCAGGAGGTCGAAGAGATGCAGGGCCAGAGCGATTGGCATTTCCTCCTTGGTGATCTCACCGGCAATGAACGGGAGCAGCTGAACGACTTCTGCAAGCTCCGCGGTCTGCTGTTGTGCCGCAGGGAGGCCCAGAACGCCAAGCAATGCCAGCATTTTGTTTGCAAGGAGCCAGCAGCTGTGCTGTTGACTTGATAGTGACAGGTGAATTCGAGAGCATCTGGGGGAGGATCTCACCCCCAGCATCCTTGCCAATTCGCCTCTGGACGTCTCTATATCGTAGCTACTATAGCTGACATGTTCCCAGATATCCCTGACAGCCAGAAAGGCATGATGACAAAGACGGCAGCCGCTGTAAGCATTTCAGTCTTGCGATGGCTCCGTGAACCCCGAACCCTGAACACACCCTGTCAAATGGGCGGGTGGGAAAACCTTTCCTTCTTGATGTCTCGCCCACCTCTTCTCGTGCAGCGTTTCATGCCCTACTGGCTCTTGAAGGGATGCAAGAGCTCAGACAATCGGGGAGCCTGATGTTAGAACCCCAGATAATAGGATCCTCTTTATAAACACCCCTGTCGCACAAAAAGGACTCTATGTTGCCTGACGTGTCGCAGTGCCATGCATCTAGGTTCTCGTAGTGTAGCTTCCAAAGTCCGAAGAACCTGTTGACCGGTATTTTACGGGATGGCGAATGGCTATGCAGAGGTACGAGCATAAGTCTAAGCCACTGCCTGTGCAGTGCTTCCTTTGAGATCGACGCATGGCCTGTGCCTGATTGATGATCCAGAGACTGCCAACGCATGGTGGGCATTTTCGCCTGCGTCACGTCGCTGTCCTTGCGTTGCCGTTGATGCTTGGCTGTCCCGGCTCCAAATTCTCCAGCGCAACAAGATGCACAAAATAAACCCGCTGTACTTAAACAGTTTCCAGCAACTCCTGCGACGATCGAGTCGCGAAGTGCATTTCCGCGTGACCCCTAAGTACAGTCGCAGCAAAATCTAACAGTATCTGACAAAGCCACCCGCCAAGCCGAAGCTCTGCTGTTTTCTGGACAGTGAAGGACGGATTGGGTCTCAGCCACAACAACTTTGCCGGTGCTGCCCTCAGCTACGCCTGTGCTGTGTCTGTTCTTCTTATGTGTAACGTGCCTATGAACGTTGCAGTGCCAGCACGACGTAGGAGTTCCCTGCTCGACCGTTTTTCCAGCGTCCAGGGTTAGGAGAAGGTCCTGGGTTTGATGAAAGTTGATAGAAAAGGCTAGACCTGCCAGATCCGTAGACGAGAATCCCGGAACCTGAAGGATGGGAGGAGGCAGCCTTGCCTCAAGCTGAGCTGCAGCACCCGGAACCTTTGCCTAAGCCCGCACCCAAACTGCACCCTGAAAGTGGCGACGATGCATGCACCTGCTGTTCTCGAGTAGATGGAAGCCTGAAAAGAGACCTGTGCCCCGTGCACAACATCCGCCAACGTAGAGCCAAGGTGGTCAGCGATGCGGCGTCCTGTGGCGTGGTAGATAGGTCACCCTCGGCGGGACCGCTGGGGTGTCACGAACAGGCCAGGGGTGAAAGGAGAGGAAAGATTGAGGGTTTGAGAAGGTCTAGCTTTTTGGGGTGGGGCTTTGACACTACAAGGCTGACGACCTTGGGATTTTGGCATTTGACGGTGGTTTCAGGGTGATTCCGTATGGTTTGAGGGCTAACTATGTGCTTCGGGTGTCCTCGAAGGTAGGAGCTGTCAAATCCTCTCCTTAGATGCAGATGTCAGCCGAAACTACTTGCTCTTGAGCACATCGACGATCTCGAAGGTGTCTTGCCAACGAAACGTGGAGGCTTGTGTTGACCTCGCGTCTTCCTTTTTCTGCCTTTCACAGACCGAGTAGACTCCATGTCAAAACCCTCCGCAAGCCCCAAACCGTGTCAGCGCGAGTGAACAGGGAGCCAGCAAGGCAGGTGTGCTGTGCTGACAGGCGTTCTTCTCTGCAGTTCAACAGGGTGGATGCAGTGCTCAGGGTTTTCACGAGCATTGACAGAAGCTCATCTTATCAGACCCGCCTTTTCAGCGGCACGAAAACATCAAAAACCGTAGCAGTTAACACCTAACAGAATCTAGCCCTGAGCCCCGGGCCCAGCAGGCAAGCCACGGAGAGCTTCCCTCCCTGCTTTCTTCCCAGCTTCAGCACGCCCAGATTCAGACGGGTGCAGACAGGGGACCCGAAAGGCTGAACAAAGCCCTGAAATCTAGGAGACAAAAGTACCATACCCTAAACCCTAAACCTTAAGCCCCACACCCTAAACCCTAAACCCCATACCGTACCTGCCATGCCTGCTTTGCGAGTGTGTGAGTCGAAACCCCATACCTGGTGTCAAAACAACCCATACCCCAAGCACCTCCAGGCGACGACGGACTGCCCGGGCCTGACTGAGCTCTCCAAAACATGTCCGGCCAGCTGTCCCTACGTGGCTCCGCACCCCTACCTCAGCCGCTTGACTTCGGTTAAAGAGGGGCTGCTGTAAGGGATCTACACGGGCTGCTATGAGGGTTCAGGTTTCAGGCTTTCAGGGTTTTTGCAGAGTTTTCGAGTCTAATTGAGGGTTTAAAGTCTTGACCCAGTGATCTTAGACGGTTACCCTAAGTCAAGAATTCTGTTGAGAATTGTATGGGTAATATATGACGGGTATTATTAATAGCAGTCATGTCTTAACGCTGATGGAAGGTGAGTTGTTTTTGAGAAGTACCCTCAGTGTTATACAAGGGTTCTGTTCGGTTGTTTTAAAAAGTTCTATAGGCATTCCAGCTCCCTTGCGAGGCTGCGTGTTCGAGTGCACTTCTGCAGCAAGCTGTTCCAGCGCCAACAACAACCGCGCCTTTCCGTTGCTTGTTCAGCAGGAGAGTAGGATGTATGAGTCCTCAAACAACTTTCTTTAATATGTTGTTTGCCCTGGTGACAGTGACGTCGGGGGATGCTCACGATACTGATGAAGGTGATGTTCTGTTCCTATTGCTACAGTCAACACCGCAGTAGCTTCTTGGACTCTAGGTTTTTGCTGGTGGTGTGATCGTTCTCTGTATATAGTTCGTGCTACTTCGCGTTCACGATCACGATCCACGCTTCCGAGACAGACTCGCTCTACCGTCTGGCGGGTCTAGCGGTGCGCGTTTAGGGAATCCCGGATAGCCAACAACTCTCTTACGTGCCGTCCGAGTTTGCTCTGAACGGTAGCGGTCACTGTCAGCTGGGTGGGTGTGAAAACCAGGGTCACTTTTAGGTTTAAGGAAACTATCCGGGTTCCTGTAAGGGTTACTAGGGCGTACTAGGCGTTCTAGACCGTTTACTACAAGGGTTCCTGCTCGAAGACCACCGGCCCAGGAACAATCGCACGAAGCAGTGCGAGCCCTGTGCAGTGGTAGGATGCAAGCGCTGCGATTCGCAGGCTCGCAGCGGCTTGTTCGTGGTGTGGGATGGAAGTCCTTCCGTGGTTGCGCCGTTTGCATGGCATTAAATGCAGCAGGCGTCACAGTTAGGGTTTTTTAGTGCCCTGAATGACCCTAAATCCTACCCCCTATAAGTATGGCTTAAGGGAGGCCGTACCATTCTCTAGCTTCGTTGCTCGGACCCCTCGCCCGGTATATCCAAGCTGCGAGAGGCACGCTCATTGTCCTCGAAGCGCAAGCTGTAAGTTGTAGTTCCAGCGATTGATGCATCTTTCTGCCGAGCCAGGGAAGCTCCCATTGAGGCTCCAGACAAAAAGGTGGTGTATGCTAGACCAGTCGTTTGTGGGGCTTGAAAGTCTGTTGACCGCGAGACTGGACCACTTAGTTAGGGGAACGGCAACATGAAACCCAAACTAGACAGTGCATTGTTACCGTCAGAAGCCCTCACGGGTTCTGCCAGCCATTGCCAGCCTAACGCCCTTTTGTGCCGTGGGAGCAGCCCTTTCAGGTTTTTCACATTCGTGGTGTGTGCAGCGATAAAAGGTATTGATTGTTTCTATACATGCACCTCCGGATTGGCAGCCTTGCATGGTGTTCCAGCGTTCCAGCTTCAAGCAGCGCGAGTGTCTGTGGGCACTTTTCCGTTTCATGACGCGTCGAACAGAGTGGAAAGCTCTCCTTGGGCGTGAAGCGCTAATATTATGATATAATACAGAATAAGATTAACTGGTCAAATATAGTATTATCCTAGCATAATATGGTAGAATATGATATAATATAACATAGTGTAATTAGTATAGTATGATCTAGTACAACATAATATAGTAGAATAAAATATCATATAACCTAACGTAGCATAACACAACATAGTTTAATATCTAAGCTCAAGATCCCCTAAGTCCGGTTCCGAAAGCCCTTCGGGTCCGCAGTGCCAGAGCTTCACCTGCTGAACCTAGAGGTGCGAAAGCTCAGAAATCGCTGTAGTGTTCTGTGGTTCATTCAGAAGGGTTTAGGGGTTTAGCAAAAGGGTTTTAGGGTTTTGGGCAGTTTAGGGTTGTCAAGCGCAATGTGCTGTTTCCTGCCACAGGACACCTGTGCCGAGTGCTTTGACAACTTTTGGCCCGAATTTGGCGGCAGAGTCTGTGTGCCTTGCTCAATTTTCATGGCATCTGTTGCGGTTGAATTTTGGAACCTGGTTATGATCATGCGCTGCCCTGTTGCTGCTTAATCACTCTCGTGAGTTTTGCTGTTGTGACTGTAGTTGTGATGTCGAGTCTGGTGACTATGAGAGGTAATGCTATGGGTAGACTGGACCATCAGTGTTTGTCTTCTTTTTATTGTGTCTATGATGCTTTGCATAGGTAAACTGTCATTGCGAATCCGTGCTGCTTAGTCGGTTGGTTCGCATTGCTGTTGTTGCTGTTGCTGCGAGGAACCTGTTATATGTCTTGCGTTTGTTTCCTGGCCAGGGTTGTTACCACAGTTCTGAAAATGCAGACCGCAAGCTGACCAGGAAAGCACCCTTCTCTTTGGAACAGCAGCTCATTGCTGCCACTCTTGGCAGCTGCAGGTATTCTTCTCCCAAGCATCACCGCATGCACACGAGCTGAGGTTTACGTTTGGGACGATCGCGCCCAGAGCGGCGTCAATGCAGCTTTCTCTTTCGCACTGCTGACTATTCTCCTTGTCTCAGCCGGAGCCCACTTCTCGGGTCTGTAATCTACGCTGACGGGCTTCTGGTTGTGCTTGTGCTTTGCTAGCAT